CTGAAAGGAGAATGAAAAGCTTAATAAGAATATCAATTACGTCAATAGCACTTTAGTACTCTTCTCTCACATTAATGAAAGACTCGGCTCACACTGGGATGCGTCTACTATATAAGGGGTGCACGAGAAAAAAAACACGATATAAAAAGAAAAAGAAGGCAAGGAAAGACTCGAGGAAACGCAATATTTTAAGTTTTCTTCCATAACCAGCCATAATCTCACTGTCAGTGTATAAAGTAATCGGTCTCGCAACTTTACATTATGCAGGTCCATTCACAAATCCCGCGAATACACGCCCAAATCTGTGGCATTAGCGAGAACCTTGTCCGCGCTGTCCAACAAATAATACAACACGTGTTTCCCCCGTAAAGCTACACTTGTCGTAAAGTCTGTGGAATTTACTACCCGCAGTTCGTTTACTCCACTACTGCATAGCGCTTGCATATTGGTTAACAGCTATTTCGAAACAAAAACTGTAACAATACTACCAAAAAGTCTCTTTTGTAACATAGAACAGGATATTCATTGACAGAGTCATAACCAACTGGAAATATTTAGAGACGAGAGAGAGAAGAGAGGACAGAGAGGGGGGGTAGAGGGAGGAATGGAAACGGAAGGGGGAGGCAATACCTAAGATCATGAGTTCTTGCATTATATTCGTAAATTAAACGCCATTGCCTTTCTTGAATCATCATTAACTATAAACAGCACATGTGCGTGCGTGTATAAGCGCATATGCATACGCCCAGCCATGAAATAAATAGAGATGTAAAAATCGAGCAATACTCCATTAACATGTTTACAAACATAACACACACATGGTGTGTGTGTGTGTGTGTGTGTATGTGTGTGTGTGTGTGTGTGTGTGTGTGTGTGTGTGTGTGTGTGTGTGTGTGTGTGTGTGTGTGTGTGTGTGTGTGTGTGTGTGTGTGTGTGTGAGAGAGAGAGAGAGAGAGAGAGAGAGAGAGAGAGAGAGAGAGAGAGAGAGAGAGAGAGAGAGAGAGAGAGAGAGAGAGAGAGAGAATGAGAGAGAGGGAGGGAGGGAGGGAGGGAGGGGAGGGGAGGGAGAGAGAGAGAGAGAGAGAGAGAGAGAGAGAGAGAGAGAGAGAGAGAGAGAGAGAGAGAGAGAGAGAGAGAGAGAGAGAGAGAGAGAGAGAGAGAGAGAGAGAGAGAAAGAGAGAGAGAAAGAGAGAGAGAAATACATACACACATATATACATACATATATAAACATCAACATCAGATCTCCATATTAGGTAAAAGGCAGCTGCAGGATCCTTTCGTTAATAATAGACAAGATGTAGAAGGTTTTGTCTGAACATAAATGAATCTCGACGGAACGACTCTGCAAGTGCGGTGAATATTAAAATGCCAATCTGCTTCGAAACGAGGCTTCCATTTAAGGACCTGTTCAATTATGGACCAAAGAGATGATCAGTATATAAGAATTTAAACTGTCAATCCATCAACATGACTTGATTATACGATCGTGCATATATGTCTGCGGGTGCTGAGAGAGCGAGAGAGTTCGGGGAGTAGACACCCAATGCATAAATTCATCTGTGTGCGTGTGCATGCGTAACAAACAAACACACACACACACACACACACACACACACACACACACACACACACACACACACACACACACACACACACACACACACACACAAGAAAAAAACTCTCTCTCTCTCTCTCTCTCTCTCTCTCTCTCTCTCTCTCTCTCTCTCTCTCTCTCTCTCTCTCTCTCTCTCTCTCTCTCTCTCCTATGCATACACATAAATATTCATACATATGGAGAGATAAAGAGAATGGAAAACAATTGACACGCCCTTGGCAAACAAGTGGCTAACAAAGACAGCGTATAAATGCATCAATGAATAACGAAGGGCGCGACTGAAAGGAGGGGATTGACTCAAAGTTGTAAGTACACGAAAGGAAAGATGAAGTAACGGGGAGTGCATAAGAGACAAATGAGAAAACAAGGGGAATGGAGAGGATGTGACGATAAAGGGGAGAAGAGGAACGAGCAAAAAGGAGAGAGAAAGCGGGGGTAAGAGGGAAAAAATAAAGGAACAGAGTTAAGACGCAAGGGAAGAAAGGGGAAAGGAAAGGAGATGGAGAAGAACAAGAGAGAAAATACATAAAGCTAAAACCGACAGAAGGAAAGGGGAGCAAGATAGTACAAGGGGAGACAAGGGTACAAGAGAGAGCCTGACATGCACGAAGAATTGAAGTCTGAGTTAGCCTGATGGAGAAGAGGAGAGGGGAGGAGAGGAGAGGAGAGGGGAGGCGAGAGGAGGAGAGGAGAGGAAAGGGGAGAAGGGAGGAGAAGAGAGGTGAAGTGAGGTGAGGAGAGGAGAGGAGAGGGAAGGAGAGAGGAGGGGAGGGGAGGGGAGGAGAGGATTAGCGAAGAGAGGCTTAGAGATGAGAGAAAAGGAGATGATTAGAGAGAAGAGTAGAGAGAGGGGAGGGGAGGAGATGAGAGAATTAGAGAAGACAGGATTGGAAAGTAGACTGGATGAGATTGGAGAGGAGAGGAGAGGAGAGGAGAGGGGAGGAGAGAAGAGAAGAGAGGAGATACGGAAACTGATGGAAAGAAAGGGCAGCTTGAAACTACCAGAATATAAAATGAGAAAAGTAGGAAGGGATTCAGGATTCAGGCCTTCCTTATGAAAGTTTTTAATAGTGCTTATATATACACGCACACATGGGTCAGTAAGGAACACTGCATGATTCTTTCCACTCTGCCACCACTCGAGACGCACAAAAACAATTACACAGGATCGAATTCTGAAATAAATCACTCCCCTTACCATGACATCATGACTTTCACCTTTGCCTTCATGACTTACTGTAGCTCTCTCCTTCATTCGGTCTCCTTCCCTCTTCCTTCTTCCTTTCCTACTCCTCTTCCCTCCTTCCCTCTTCTCTCTTTCACCCTTCCTCCCTCCTTCCCTCCTTCTCCACTTCCTCTTCCATCCCTATACCTCCTCCTTCCTTCTTCCTTCCTCTTTCACGGAAGTTCCCATCTCTTTCAATTCTCTCTCTAATCCCTCATTGTCCCTGAATAATGACACGAGAGAAGAACTTCAATCACCGTCACTCGCCCCCCACCCCGCCCCCCACCCCACCCACCACCCCCAGGATGATCCTCGGCCCAGCTACAATTAAGGCAAATCTACATATCATTTGGTAGAGCGCTGACATGTTCGACGGAGGAGAGGGAGGGTCGGAAGACAGAGGGAAACAGGCAAGGGGAGAAACAGAGAGGCAAGGGGAGAGTAAGGAGGAGGGGGAAGGGATGAGGGAACCAGGGAGGAAAGGGATGGGAAGGGGAAGGGGGAGAAAAGAACTGTTGAAAAGTAAGGTGGGGAAAGGAAAGGGAGATGGGACGAAGTTGAGAAATGTAGTGAAAGGAAGGGAAGAAAAGAATGAGGAAAGGATATATATATATATATATATATATATATATATATATATATATATATATATAGAGAGAGAGAGAGAGAGAGAGAGAGAGAGAGAGAGAGAGAGAGAGAGAGAGAGAGAGAGAGAGAGAGAGAGAGAGAGGGGGGGGGCACAGACGAGATCTACTGTCAACAATACAAAGCATAGCGTACATCACTCACATTTTTATTACAAATATATGCATTTCCTCTTCAAACTGGGACCATTTCCTAAACAATCCATTTCCTATACACACTGAAATATCTTTTTTTTCCGTTCTTTTTGTCCCTCTACACTACAGCAATTTCCCTTCCAAAGACCCTCACTCCATCCCGCATCGCCGTCGACGCTCGCACCGCCCATTTCAATCAGTTTGCTGTATTCCCTTCGACAACGCGATCCTCAGCTTAAGTGTTCCCGACATATTAATTTCGAGTAAAACAGTGCTGTGATTCCTTTCCCTAAAACTTTCGATTTCTTCTTCTATATGATTTGTTATGCATTTTCGTCGTGGCACTTTTTTATGACATTATTTCCGGCCATCTGGTACTTTTCCCCCACAGTTGCGCGTTTCTTCCCTGTATTTTGGTAATCCTCCCCACAGTTAGGTATTTCTTGCCTGCATTCCGGAACCTTTTTTCTTGTACTCACGTATTTCTTCAGTTGTTCTTCCCTGCTGTTTGATAATTTCTCCCCCGCGCTCAGTCTTCTCTTGCAACATATGCATTTCCGCTGGTGCATTCAGCACTTTATTTCCCTAACACAATAACCGCCTGTCCCCGTTGCTTGATTGTCGTCCAACCCGCCTTTTCTAATGCGTCGTTTACACGACACTGCTTTTATTCGCTTTAGACGAGCTTCTAAATTCGCTAGCGAATTCGCTGGTGAAAGCGTCAAAAGACCCGGCGTCTTTTATTTGCTAGCGACTAAATCCATGAATTGCAGCGTCTGTTCGACGCTGTGATTAAGTTAAATATGTTCAACTTAACCGCTCGCTTCTAACGTTTCAGTAGCAAATAGATGACTAGTCCACAAGCCGACGGCAGTGTGTGAGGGGTATCTGCTTTGATGCTGGGTGCATTGTCGTTTTCTTTTGTATGTATCTTGGATGTATTTTCATCCATTGCTCTTTTTTCGCACGTCAGCCTCAATACTCTCCGGCATGTCGTTGGGTCTTCCAATGCCAGTTCCTTCTGGAGATCTGAGGCCCCCTGAGCCTGCCTATCCACTTTTGTATCCATACACTTTTTTTCTTGGCTGTTTTATCGTAACAGAATCACCCATTCTACCTTGGAGCGCCCTTGCACAAAAACAACAGGCGCTCGCAGCACATCCTCCTGCGAAGCCATGGCGCCTGAGACTGCTCGAAAAGGCTAGCGAATTCATAATTTTGACCAGCATGAAATTCGCTCTGGGAGAGCGATGAGTTGCAACAAGAGAAGCTGGCGTCTAGCGTCAAAAGAAGCGCCGCGTAAACTGGCCTTAAGGAAGCATTAAAAAGAAAATATTGACACCATCCCTAACTCATTTACGTCTATATGATAAAAAAG